GCCTCACGAACTTGATGGTGTACTTGGTTCCCTCGATCTGCAAAGATTTGGTGGGTTTTGGGTTTGTCCGTACACTCGAAGGAAGAAGAAGAAAGAAAGAAGGGAGCTCGGGGGAGAGAGACAGGGAAAAGACAAAGGGAGAGGGAAAGTGACAGTGTGTGTGTGTGGTCCAACTCTGGCCAACACCACACTAAACAACCAAAAACATAACGAAAACAAACTAGGGGCAAAACAGTCTTTTCACACGTACGTTTCCGATAATTCCGGGACGGGATGTCACAATTGAGCCCCATAGTTTCACTAACTATTACTAAATAATTAAAGTTGATTTTAGTTTTTATACTATTGGTTGTTAATGATACTTGCATTAAAAATTAAATTAAATACTGTTGACTCATTCTTTGTTTGCTTTCAAAAAAGATAGCTCCAAAGTAAGGAGTCAAGTGACTCAGTTGCCACATCATATATGGCATATCCATTGGTTACTCTTACCACCAACGTCAGGGCAACTAACAACCTTAAGCTAGAAGGACTTACGCGTGACACCTAACTCCCAACTGCAGCCGGTATGGAGTTATGTAGGAATTTACAAATTATGCATCAACAATAACTACTGGTAGCATAACCCAAACTTTGGTGGGGCGACACACAAAACATAGACCTTAGACCATCTCCAACCCTGACATAAAACTTAAAAATATTTAGCCCATAAAATTTAGGTTTTAGCCCAGAAACAACTTTTATGCTTAACCCTTCTGGCCTAAAATTTTAGCCCGAGATTATGAAAGAATGAATTAATGCTATTTTAAAAATAAAAAAAAAATTATGTAGACTATCCTAAATTAATTTTATGAACATTTTAACCTAAAAATATTTAAATTATGATAAATTTTGAAAAATCACTAAATCAATACATGAAATCATGATAAACCACATAAACTTAATATAAATGACATTTAATAAACCACATAAACTTAATACAAATGACAATTAATAAACCACATAAACTTCATAAAAAAAAAAAAAAAAAGACAATTAATAAACCACATAAACTTAATACAATCGAAAACTCATAAACTACATAAACTTAGTAATGATATCCACCATCTTGACTTGGTGATGGACTTGGGTGATAGTCTTGAGATGAATCATCATCTTGAAACATACTCCTTGAGCCATTCCTTCGTAAAATGTCTTTTTGCGTACCACGTAAGTATTTCTTCCTCTCTGGAGTGTATTTGTCAAGGTCCTCCATCATCAAATTAATTTCGAACCTTTCTTGCTCCTTATCCCTATCTTCCTTCATGGCCAAATGCATTTGGGCCGATTCTTCTTGCCGAGAGATATGATTTTCGTTCATTCTTGCAATTTCGCTAGCAAATTGTGCACGTATCGGATCTTGGGACTTCTCTTTTCTCTTTGCTTCCCTTTGCTTATCTCTACCCAGGGGCCTTGCAAAAGAAGAAGTTGGGGTCATTTGTTTGACACCTTCATTGTCGAAAAAATTCACACCTTCATTGACATCATTTGTGGGTGGGGCTTCACAATGAAATAATCTTCCACATTGTTCAATCGCATCGGTTCCCCACCTTGGACAATCCTTGAGGATGTTCCAAGCATGATGCAACTTAAAAGCTTGATTTTTTGGTGTAGTTCTTGTCTTGTAAATTGCCATTGCTTTATCACCCTATGCAACAAATACATAAAAACAATTAGTTGCAAAATACTATTATGTACATGACAACTAAAATATCAACAAAGAAACTCACAATTTCTGAGGCGCCCCTTCCACTAGGCATGTCAACCATGGCTCTCTCCAAGCTTCCCTTCCACAAAGTGCACGCTTTGTTGATAAATTTTCACCGATCATAAACACCACCAACTTTGACCAGCATTGGAGTTTTCATGGAACTTATCAACGATTTTACCCCAGAGAACCTTTCTATTTTGATTCTTGCCTACGGCACCATCTTCGCTAGCAAAAATCTATGCCAAACATAAAGCAATATCTTCGTCAAAGGTCCAATTACGACCTCTAACATGCTCTTTTGCCATCTTGAAAAATTTGGAAATGAGAAGAAATGGTAGAAAGAAAAATTGGATGAATTGTAGGAGAAAAGTGAGTTTTGTGTGGATGTTTGAACAAATACATAGGTATTTATATAGTTTTTGGTTGAATTTTAAGTTAAATAACATTTTTAAATTATTTTAGCCATTGGATTTAAATTTGGACCATTAGATCTTTTTTTTTTTTTAACCGTTAGATTTGATTATATTTTATCTAAGCCGTTGGATTCAATAAATATATAAATATAAAACTCAAAAAAAAATAATTTGAACCTGGACCGTTGGATTAACCAACAACCCATTTAAATCGAGCCGTTGGATGAAGAAAACTAGCCTTTGGGCTACTTAATGTTTTGACACCCGGGGGAACAACCCCACGTGGGTTTGTTGGGCAGCAGAAATTGCCTAGCGCGTAGGTGAGTAGGGAATGGGCTTCACAGCCTCGGTTTTCAGTCTCATTTGCTAGGGCCCACTTTGCTTTGTGGCCTAAAGTTGGGCCTGTATTTGACTCCCATTTGGGTTTTAGGTTTTAGGTTAGTTTTAGGTCATGGGTTGGAGTGGATTTCTTTTTTTTTTTTTTTTTTTTTTGTGGTGGTTGTTTTGGGGGGGGGGGGGGGGAGGGGGGAGAAGAAGGGGAATTATAGGTTTTAGCCCATTGTTGGTGATAGGAGCATATTTATGCGACTTAATTAGCTTGTTTTCTTGCATTTACATAGCTAATTTCTACTTATTAGAGTGTCTTAGACTATTTTTCGTGTGTTTTCAGGTTCAAATGACAAAGTTGGTAAGAAAGTGCAATTTGGAGTATTTTAGAGCAGTTTTGGGCTTGGAATGGATAGCACATGCATGGACCAAGGTGGATGGACGTTTTTGAAGATCAAAAGAGGCTAGAAATGTGCTCAAGAGTTGAAGAAATTAATTCAAGATTTGGAAGATAAGGAATCAGCTAACAAGAAGGAAACATAATCCAAACTACCTTATCTTATCCAAACCTTATCCAACCTTATCTTATCTTATCCTAACCTAATCTTATCCCACCTTAATACCAGCTGCAAGGAGGACACCCAAATGACATTAGGATACCTACAAATCAAGTTTCTAGAAGCCAAAGCCCTATCCCTAAATCTATGCTGCATCCACCCCTTCTTAAAGCCATGTTTCCTGCCGCAAGGACCATTCCTTTTCCTCCCTGGAATCTGAATGAGAAGTGTCATTTTTCCTTGTTGATTTGGAGTCCTAATTCCCCTCCTTCTCAGCCATTGCCGTGCCCTCCCTTCTCCCTATAAATACCTTGTGCCACAGCAATCATAAATCACCCATTTCTCACCCCAATTCACACCACACATCCATCATACACAAAAACACAATTTGTGCCACAACAAGGAAGGAAGGAGAAGAAGAGCTTTGGAGCCGTGCCTGCCATTCAAGATCATTGGAGTGCTGGAGCGTTTCTAGATGTATTCTATCCTTAGTTTTAGTTCAATGTTTGTTTTAATTTGGTTTTCAATTATGATGTACATGTGGAACTAATTTCTTTGTAGCTAGAGGTGAATTTAAAGCCATGAACATATGTGTGATATGAATTGATTACATCCAGTTATTGTTTTTTAAAACATGAATGCGATTTACTTATCTGTTTGATTGATAACTTATTCTTGTATGTTGATTAAGGATGCATACTTAGTTTGCATGCATGAATTTGATGCTAAAATATAAGGGAGTTTCACCGAATCGTTATGAACTTATATTTATAAGTAGTGGAAGTCACTAGTCATGATTGTGTTAAGTAAATCCATGGCAGGAGTATCATGCAGTTCATAGTTACGAATGTCATGTCAATGCTTATGATTTTCATAGAACTTAATGATCTTTAATATGTAGCTTATCATGCAGTTCATATAGGGAACTTGATAAGAATAATTTGATTGCGTCGCTGAGTCCAATTCAATGAAATTAGGAAAATCTGAGAGTTAATTTGTGCAGTTCACAATTAATTTGGGGCATTGTCATTCATTGTTTATTGGAATAATAATTGGAAATTGATTTGTATGCATTTGTGTCATGTGTGGAGATGAACCCTCTAGCTAGCCATTCACCCATTAAAACACCCAATTTCGTCCAAAGTTGTTTAGAGTCTTTAAATTTGTTTGCTTTTACTTTAAATTCGTCAAAAACCACTTTCCCCTTTATATTTCGTGTATTTTAGTTAGAATCTGTTTAAACTAGTGTCTTTTTAGTATTTTGAGTCAAGTTAAGTTAAAATTCATCCAAGGTCACCCTTAGTTTCTATTTTGAGTCAATTTGCTTGTTTTGTGCTGTTTTAAGTCATTCTAGTTTGTTTTAAGTCATTAGAGTCTAGTTTTCTGCTTTTGAGTCTAGTTAAGTGTAATTGAGTCTAATTTGAGTAGATTAGCATCTCTTCTAATCTCCGGCCTAGAACGATCCCTACTTTCATATACTACAACTATTTAAAAATGGTTTAATTTGTGTGTTAGTTTTTACTACATCAGTTGGAGTGAATCTTACCAACTGAGTCAACCCTCGTTGGCTCTCTACTTACATTTGATACATAGTGCACCCGCTTGTATTTCAAATACACTGAAGAATCCAAGCCAACTCCATGTTCTTGTGTGTGATTGCACAAAACACGCTCCGGCGGCCAAGTGCTTGTATTTCAAATACACTAAAGAATCCAAGCCAACTCCATGTTCTTGTGTGTGATTGCACAAAACACGCTCCGGCGGCCAAGTTTTAGCACATGGGGGAGGATTTTAATGAACGTTATGTAGAAATCCTTGGGCGGATGGATTTAACTCATGGAATTTAAGATAATTTAATATAAATAGACGAGTTTTTTAATTTTTTTTTTTTTTTTTTTTTAATTTTAAGAAAAAGATAAATAGACGAGTTGGAAAACTCAGAAAATGTCCATAAATCATAAAGCTACTTTCTATAAGTAGCACCCACCACCCTTCTTCTCCTTCGTCAACTGACCTCTCCACTTTCTACCAGATCTCTCTCTCTCTCTCTCCCTCTCTCCTCTGTGTGCGTGTGTCTCTCTCTCCCCTCTCTGCAGTTTCTTGAGCTCAGTTTCTTACAATGCAAGTAGAATGCTCTCAACTTTTCGAATAGTTGTTGTTAATCTTAGTTACTTATACAGCATTCTTCATTGTTTGCTTATGTTTAGTTACATTTCTTCCTGTATGTATTCTAATGGAACCCTGTTGGGTCTGGCCTCCCCGCAGATTACAAACAATCCATTAGCTCCAGTTGAGGTTCGAAAATGGCGAGATTTTCGATATCCTTAACGGGGTTTCTACTCTTATGCTGCTGTTTACTGCCAGCTCTGAGACTGACAGAAGCTGACTACTTCAAATACAAAGACCCAAAGCAGCCATTGAATGCTAGAATCCGAGACCTCATGAAGCGAATGACTCTTGCTGAAAAGATTGGCCAAATGACGCAGATCGAGCGCACAGTGGCAACCCCTGATGTCATGACCAAGTACTTCATTGGTAACCAAACAATCTCACCCATATTTTCAATTGTTCATCTCAACATGTCCATATTGGACTGTTTGTCCATACTGGGTTTTTTATTCGAGCGATATTCTAATCTAATCTAAACTACTAGAAGCGAAATTTAAACTTGGGTGCAGGGAGGGAAAATAGTGGAATTACAGTAATGTCAAAGTTGGTTTTAGTAGCCAATGAAATGATCCTAGTATAATTTGTAAATGCCTTAATGGGATATTTGGTTTTTCTGCAGGGAGTGTGCTTAGTGGTGGTGGGAGTGTACCAGCCCCAAAAGCTTCAGCTGAGACGTGGATCAATCTGGTAAATGGCCTCCAAAAGGGATCTTTATCTACGCGTCTCGGGATTCCCATGATCTATGGGATTGATGCTGTTCACGGCCACAACAATGTCTACAATGCTACTATTTTCCCTCACAATGTTGGACTGGGAGCCACCAGGCAAGTCACATTCATTCTCACCCAAATAAGTGGAAGTCCACAGACTTCATTCAAGCATTACTGAAAGTTTTTTATCTTTCGGTCAAATTAAATAGCCTGATGTTTCTAATCAATGTACTCATGCTTCATTTTGCATGTTATCCGTTTCAGAGATCCTAATCTTGTCAAGAGAATTGGGGAAGCAACTGCCCTTGAAGTCAGGGCAACCGGAATTCCTTATGTCTTTGCCCCATGTATTGCGGTAATTGAGTAGTCTTATTATCCAAGATCCCTACTTACAAACTTCAAAACTTGACCAAGCATGCCACTAAAACAATGTATTACTACTGTTCTTGCAGGTCTGCAGAGATCCAAGATGGGGTAGGTGCTACGAAAGCTATAGTGAAGACCATAAGATTGTTCAAGCAATGACTGAGATAATACCTGGTCTGCAAGGAGACATGCCTCCCACTGCTCAAAAGGGGGCTCCCTATGTTTCTACTGCAAAGTAAGACTTCGTTTTTTTATCTTTCCAGTTTTCAAAAATTTGCTACTTGAGATCTTTTTATTGGTTTCACTGTTTAGGGCGAATTATTTGTGTCGTGATAGTTCTTATCCGTAAATAGTTTGAAAGTTTCAGACAAGTACCTCTACAGACATATTTATTTTGATCATAATGACCACATTGTAGGCCTGGTTAGATATATAGTGGTCAAGCATTGATTGAGTAACAACACTTGAGTTCCACAAGTTTTTTATATTTACTAAAATTTCCTGCCTTTTCTGGTTAGCTGGGGTTCGATTGGTCGAACGCAAAACATTTGAAAGTGACAGATTGAGACTATGCCTCGGTGTCCTTCTAGTATTTTCCACCATATTTTACACTTTAATTTGGCCTAGAGCCTTCTTTAATTAGGCATCAAAGCCAGGGTGTTGATTCACCAAACTACATATGGTTCAGCCTATTTTAATTGCTGGCGAAAAATCAATTGTATATGTAATCTACCTGTGATGTATTCTTTATTTCAAATATTTGGCCAAAAAAATTGGGTGTAATTCGTCTTCCTTACCGTTTCTCTAGAGGAAAGGTTGCGGCCTGTGCTAAGCACTATCTTGGAGACGGTGGCACAACGAACGGCATCAATGAGAACAACACTGTGATTGATTTGAATGGATTGCTCCGTATTCACATGCCTGCATACCTCAATTCCATCCTCAAGGGTGTTGCAACAGTTATGGTGTCTTACTCGAGTTGGAATGGGAAGAAAATGCACGCAAACAAAGAACTTGTAACCGGATACCTAAAGGACAAGCTACGTTTCCGGGTAAGGAATGTCATTTTACGTAACTTGTCTGCTGTGGTGGTTATTACTAGTGCTGGGCATAACTGTCTCTTGGTGGGTGCTGTCAGGGTTTCGTCATATCAGATTGGGAAGGTATTGACAGGATTACATCTCCTCCCAAAGCTAACTATTCATATTCGGTTCAAGCTGGAGTTGGTGCTGGAATCGACATGGTTAGTCTAATTAAAAGTGTAACTTTTGGCCATTATATTGTAATAAGCTTTCGGCATGCTGTTTATATTATAGTACTTCCTCAAGACGAGACATGCCAGGTTTTTATTTTCGTTTGCTAACATATATCTGGGGTTGTTACAGATTATGGTTCCCTACAACTTCACTGACTTTATTGATGAATTAACATATCAAGTCAAGAACAATATCATCCCCATGAGCAGGATCGATGATGCCGTGAAGAGAATTTTGAGGGTTAAGTTTGTTATGGGGCTTTTTGAGAATCCCTTGGCGGATCTCAGCCTGGCCAGCCAGCTGGGAAGTAAGGTCCGTATGTTTCTAGCTCGTTGATACAAAATAACCTTGATCTCTTCATCTGCCGTATTCAAACCCTTTTCTTCAAATGCTGGCTTTTCATAGGAGCACAGAGAATTGGCAAGGGAAGCTGTAAGAAAATCACTCGTTCTGCTAAAGAATGGAAAATCTGCTTATAAGCCATTGCTTCCCCTTCCCAAGAAAGCTGGGAAGATACTAGTAGCAGGAAGCCACGCTAACAACTTGGGCAATCAATGTGGAGGCTGGACAATCACATGGCAGGGCCTTGAAGGCAACAATAATACAATGGGTACGTGTTGAGTTAACCATTACGCCTTCATCGGTCTTTTGAATGATCTAACAAGCCATCTCACCGTAAAAAAAGTGTGGAAACAATTTATATTTCTTAAACTCACCTGATCAAAGTCTTTGTGAGTATGTTCTGTTATAGTATATTCGTATACCCAATAGTTTATTAATCAATGACTCAACGTTGTAACAGGTACCACAATCCTCAGTGCCATAAAAAGTACAGTTGATCCTACCACCCAAGTTGTCTACAACGAGAACCCCGATGCTAACTTTGTGAAGTCCAACAAATTTTCCTACGCTATTGTTGCTGTGGGCGAACCCCCATATGCCGAAACATTTGGAGATAACTTGAATCTGACCATACCACAACCTGGACCAAGCACAATCGCCAATGTGTGTGGAGCTGTGAAATGTGTTGTCGTGGTTATTTCTGGGCGCCCTGTCGTGATTCAACCCTATCTTGCTGGAATTGACGCACTTGTCGCAGCTTGGCTTCCAGGAACAGAAGGCCAAGGTGTGACGGATGCATTATTTGGTGATTACGGATTCACTGGCAAGCTTGCACGCACATGGTTTAAGACAGTAGACCAGCTCCCAATGAACGTTGGTGATCCACATTACGACCCTCTATTTCCTTTCGGATTTGGTCTCACTACCAAGCCAACCAAGAATTAGTAATACGGGGACCGTTCGTATCCGATCATGAAGGGTTGTTGCTCGCTGTTTCATGGATAAGATTTTGTAGAACAGTCTTTTCCCATGAGAGAGCATAATAATATGTTGTATCGTTTCTGCCGTCGATTTTTACCCGTGGTTTCAATTTCAACATTTAGCATTTTTAGCCAATGAAGGTTGGTTGAGTTCGTAATGATGTTCTCTTTGCTAAACTAAGGCCTAGGTTTGAGTCCCGCAGTTGACAATTCTTCTTAGTGGGCGATATTTAAACCCCAAAAATGGGGCTAGAACTCTCTGTAAATGTCCAAAACAGGCGTTTGTGCTATGCCTTGGCCTTAGAATTGGTAACCTCCCCCTCCTAAACTTTTGGGTAGCAAACATTTAGCATTTTAAATTTGCTTCAATGAGGTGCGACCATTAGCAGGACCGTCAATAGGCATTTTGATAGGAGAGAACCTATCCAGTTGAATAGGCATTTTCAATTTACTTTCACTTATGAATGACTAAAGTGGTGTTATTGAATATAACCAGTTTATATTTAATTCCATCTCAGTAGTTTTTGGTACAATATCGAGAAACAATTAAAGTCCTTAACAGTTAAGGCATTAAAAAGAACTAAACTTGGGCCAAACATGCACAATCCTTTGTAAAAGAAGTTTTATTACTTGTGGTGCAAGTATTCAGTATACATATAACTTATTCTAAATACAACACATCTTTCTGTTGGAAGAAGTCAGTGGCATAACCAGAAAAATTTTGAAGGAGGGTCAACATTAATAATTATAAGATTAAAAGATAATAAGAAAAACTCATATAAAAATAACAGTCCTTAGTCTTAATGGTATTCATAAAACATTCTACTAAAATTACAATTGCTCTCGACGAGTTTTTAGTAGAATTATCAGAGAGACGGGTCAAAGGCCCACTTCCAACAACATCAATATTGTCCCTAACTTGTTAAGTATCACCTGCACAATCCGTCAGGTATGAAGTTTTGTCACAAAAGGCTTCGGTATTAGTTGGAATGAAGGGTATGATACTTAAACTCTTCTTTCTTAAAGATACAATCGATATCTGATATTTCAACACGCCCCATCGACCCAATTAGTGGGTCACACATGCGAGATCCACACATCTACAATCATGTGGAGCCTAGGTGACTCACCCTATATGCGGGGCCAAGGGACGACCATTAACATACAAGGTCAAGGGGACCCACCCATCACGTGGCAATACATTACCGACCCACTCCTTGGCTCTGATACCATGTAAAATTATCAGACAGACGGGCCAAAGGCTCTCTTCCAACACCACCGATATTGTCCCCAACTTGTTAATTATCACCTGCACAATCCGTCATGTATGAGATTTTATTACAAAAAACCTTGATATTAGTTGGAGTGGGGTTGAATGTTTAAACTTTTCTTTTATCAAATATACGGTCAATGTGGGATACTTTTACATTTTCATGTTATGGAATCTTCTCATAATCACATCATTGTCAATATTATTAAGTTTCAAAATCACTTTTCAATACATTCACAGCAGAAAAAGCTCTTTAAACACTAGCAATGGCAACAGGTAAGATTAGTGCTAATGTCGCGAGCAAGAAAATTGTAAATTAAGAGTTTAAGAATTACCTAATTGATTTGTTGTTTCAGAAGAGAATTCCAAAGATGAATTAGTGAAGGTTTGCTGTCTTAGAGTTGGAAATGCCTGATTCTCAGAATAGAAGAAGTTTTTAAAAAGAAAATTAGGTTAATCTCATTTTTATAGTTTTCAACATTTGATATATCAAGTTTTTATCGTCTTAAAGTAGTATCTGAAGTCATAATTTTATAACAGTTTCATACATCCGTTAATATTGTTAAATCAACTATTAACTAATGACATGACGTTCTCATGGACAGTAACTAGACGCTACATGTCAATATGGGCTCCATATGGATATTAAAAAATTAAATAAAAAACAAAAGAAAATTTAAAAAAAGATTTCAAACCCCAATCAACTCTCCAAATCACAGTAAAACATTTTCCCAAATCCCCAAACCAACAAGCCCCAATTTTCACCATGGACAACCTAAGGAAGCTCAACCACCGGCGGAACCTAAACCTCAGTGGGAAGGACATAGAACAGAACTGTTTGGCTCAAGTGTTCATCCGTGTCGGACTGGAGTCACTCCTCCTTTTCATCTCGTTCGAGTGCAAATCCTGGAATCGCGCCACCAAAAATCCGACCTGCTGGGAGCTTACTATTTTCCCCGATGCCATCGAAAGACGTTTCCCATCCTTTCAGCCTCGACAACGCTGTTTGGAATCAGCCCTGGAACTGGGCGAATCAAATCGAGAACGAGCTTAAAAATGCGGCGATTGGGCGAGGCGAAGCGGAGGCGATGGTGACAAAAGTGGCGATCGTGGGACCCACTGCTCACAAACCCGAATCTGTTGGATCTATAACCCGCCCGTTTTATTGCACTGCAGCTCCATGTAGTTTGCTGCACGTGAAACCGTTGCGTTCGTCGACCACCGTTAAGCCCTTGCCGTCGTTGCACACGGCCCTCGCCGAGGAGATTCGGGGCAAGAGCTGCAATAGCCCGATCTGGTGAAGTGAGAGGTGAGAGGGTGGTCTTTGGGTAGGAGCGAAAGAGGGGGCATAAGAGGGAGTTGGGGGTTGGGAGAGTTTTGGGACGGATGAAGAGGATGGGAGGAGAGGAGGGCAAGAGGGGAGGAGCGAGAGAGAGGTGGCGAGGGTCTGCGAAACAGAGAAAGTAGGGAGGAATTGAAAGGGAATCTGGGAGAGAGGACGAAGGCAGAAGAAAAAGTGAAAAGGGAGAGCAGAGAGGGAGAACAGAAAAGAGGGGTTGGTCGCTGGATTGGATGGGAGGGAGAAAAGAAAGCTGGGAGGGGAGCGGCGCCGGCGTAGGAGGAGGGGGAGGGGGAGAGGCGGAGGAAGAGGAAGGATCATGATTTTCTGTGTTGGCTGGGGAAAAAGAAACAGAGAGATGAACTCAGATTGGTTTTCTAGGTTTAGGTTTGGTTTTTTAGTTTTTTAAATTTTAAATTATAAATTGTTTTAATTATTAATTATTAATTATTAATTGTTTTTTTTTTTAATTTTTTAGTATTCATGTGGGCCCATACCGACACATGTCACCCAGTCATTGTCTATGTGGGTGTCACGTCAGGTTTTGACGGAAAACTTAACAGATGTATGAGATTGTTTCAAAATTATGACTTTAGATACCATTTTGAGATAAAAAAACTTCATGTACAAAATCAAGAAACTTTAGCGTAATAAATTAAGATTAACCTAAAAAAAATTTGATGATGGAAAAGAAGTTTAAAGTTTAATGCTTATTGATTGATTACCTTTTTAATTTGTGTAATTCCCCTACTTTTCTAAATATTATAAATATATTAAACAATGAATGAAGAAAAATAGGTAAGAAATAACTCTACCATAATGGAACTATTCGGTTCATTAACAAGAGAAATGTAAGAAGACTTTCAAAAGTAAATTTTTTATAGACTGTCCATTAGGGGTGGGCAAGGTGCGGTTCGATGCGGTTCCACCCCTAAATTGGAACCGAAACCGAAATATATTAACGGTTCGATTCGGTGCAGTTCCACTTAAATTTATTACTAGAACTTTACGGTTCGGTCTACACCGGTTTCGATTCGGTTCTTGCCAGTTTACGGTTCCTAATAATAAATTATTTGAACACCAAATCATTATGCATTCAAATACATCTTCTAAAACTGATTACATAAAGTTGCATACAACACATCTTTTTTAATGCAAATGTCTTTGGTAGTGGCACCAAGTCAACAAAAAGAGACAACTAAAATACATATGCACTGGTCAATCAGTCAACAAACAAAAAAATGATGAAGCAAATTGCAGGTTTTCAGACTTCAGAGAGCAAGCAAGAAGCAGCAGCTCTTGTACACAATTTTTCAACCTATTATACCATGACATGTGTGTGTATATATAATTTATTTATTTATTATTAATAAAACGGTTCGGTTCGGTTCGGTCGGTTCTTGGTCATTCGAAACCGGAACCGGAACCGGTTTGAACGGTTCGGTTAGGTTTTTCACTCAAAATTGACTTTTCCGGTCAACACAATTTTTTTCGGTTTTTTTTCTTACGGTTCGATGCAGTTTTGCGGTTTGGCGGTTTTTATGCCCACCCCTACTGTCCATCACCTCATATTTTTAACACAATTCCCTTGCCAACTTGATAAAATATTGTGCCAAAACGTGAGATAGTAGAAAGTCCATGAGAGTTTCACTGTCTCACTTTGAGAGACCCTGCTTAGCATTTCTCAACCTAACAAATAGGAATTAAGTTGTTTAGTTGGCCACAAGGGTAAATATATAAGAATTGTTGAATTATAAGTCTCTAGCTGATTGAGTATTAGAAATAAGATGAGTTTAATGTGTGTATTCACTTGAGCATATCTGCCAAGTGTAAAGTAAAAAAAAAGATGTAAGACCATGAGTGTCATGTGTTGTTTGATCCATGTAATTAGGTAGATGAGTGACTAAGATTAAATGTAGTGTTTTTGTGTGGTCCTAAAGCTAAGGCCATCAGTTAATGTAAAGGAGAGTTAGTGCTCATTTTCTGATGTAGTAGAAATATTCCTCTGCAAAACTTTTTGCATGAGAGAACAAGAAAAAGAAAACTTTCGTTTCAGCTTCTTCTGTCTTTGCTTTGCTTCTGTTTAGCTTCCTGTAAATAAAACCCAGCAAAATCAAGTTACACTAACATGGCCTCAGAGCCTGGTTTCGATTAGATCTAGGCGTGTTTCTGTGAGCTCAAACATCACCGTTTCTGGACTCGGTGAAGTTTGCCAGAGTTTGTTTGTGATCTAAAAACTACGTGTTTCTGGATTCACACAAGCTCACGATGGCTGGATCTGGGAGTGCTGAAGTGAGGACCCCGATCTTCTTCGGTGAGAACTACGAGTTCTGGAGAATCAAAATGGTTACCATTTTCAAGTCACATGGATTATGGAATCTGGTGAAAAAGGGATTTCGGTTTCCGATTCGAAGAAGAAGAAAGCTAAGACTGATGAAGATACAGATGTTGATGCTGATGATGATGAGAAAATGGCTGCAATCTTCATGAAAGATGCAAAAGCTCTCGGAATCATTCAAAGCGCAGT